TAACTAACGTGAACTTAAGTAAAAACTTAAAAAAAAACTGTGTCAAGGCAATCCACTTTTGGTAAGGAACACTAAAATCAGTGACTCTCCAGATATATAAGGATATTGTAGTCTCGTCTCGTTTCTCTTTAGTGAATAGCTCATAATGCCCAAGTTTCAAGGAACAATTTTCAAGGATTCTCACAATTCAATATATATTGGTTACATCTGGTTTCAATACAGCTACTAATCCAAAGCCACCAAACGACGGCCACCTGAAATCAGTATTAAGTCAGCAGTGCCAAACAGGTGAAAATAACCTGTTATCCTGTCTTTCTGCTTTTTTTTATTATTATTTTTAACGTTTATTTTTATTTTTGAGACAGAGAGAGACAGAGCATGAACAGGGGAGGGGCAGAGAGAGAGGGAGACACAGAATCGGAAGCAGGCTCCAGACTCTGAGCCATCAGCCCAGAGCCCGACGCGGGGCTCGAACTCACGGACCGCGAGATCACGACCTGGGCCGAGGTCGGACGCTTAACCGACCAAGCCACCCAGGCGCCCCTCTTTCTGCTTTTTAACGTCACTGCTAGCAAATTTTAAAACACGTAGAGCTCACATTACGTTTCCATTTGGGTGTTGTTTCCCACCCCCCAAGGACCGGCGCGTGGCTCTCAGTTCAGCCTAAGCGCACATGTAGGGGACTGACTTTAAATCTCTGCGGGGGAGGGGGGACGGAGTATGATAAACCATAGTAAAAATTTAAATAGTAACGGATAGCATTAAAATTAAGTGTGCCCCCTACTCCAATACGTCTATACCACCTCGTTGAATCTGCCCGGTGTCCTCGTATCGGGGTGCATCGACCGCTGGGTAACAAACCGCTCGGAAAATCCGTGGCTTGCAAAGTTAGGAGGACGCCTGTGTGTCAGCAGTTGGGGGGCCGCTTACCAAGACAGCGCTGACTCGGGGCCTCTCGTGAGTTTTCGTGAGGACGAGGGGCGAAGCTGCAGTGACCTCAACCGAAGGCGTGTTTGGGGGTAAAAGACCCACTTTCAGGAGGGCTCATCCCCGTGGCTGTGGGCGGGACGCGCCAGTGTTTCCCTCCTACCCTTCTGTGGGCTGTGACAGAAACAGGAACGTGAGAAAATTGCTTTCACGTGGGAAAGGCTAATGCCTCTTATTTTCTTTTTCTTTTATTTTAGAGAGAGAGAGAGAGCAGAGGAGGAGCAGGGGGAGGAGGGAGAGCACCCTGAGCAGGCTCCACGTGCAGCTCAGATCCCACAACCCCCAGATCACGATCTGAGCCGAAATCAAGAGTCAGATGCTCGACCGACTGAGGCCCCCCAGATGCCCCCGCAACCTGTACTTCCTAAATGTTGGGAGACTAGGTCTGGTGCTGCGACCTTCTTGTGCATCTGATTTCAGATTGGGTTGGTTCCCACTCTGAGAGGCTCAAGGAGACAGACCCACCCCAGGGGAAGACAGCTGGGTGCTCTCTGATGGGAAGGAAAAGGAAGCCAATTCCATCAGTGCCTCCCCCCAGTTCTGAAGCCACAGAACTGACCCGCTGGAGGAGCTGCTACCTCCCCCAGCATAGAAATGCGGGAACTCACATTTCTGCTCCACTACGGAGTTGTCGGCTCCAGAACCAGACCACGCTTGCTAGATGCACACAGATAAGAGCCCCTCCAAATGCACGAAGCCAGTTCCTGCTGATGCCCCAGAAAAAGACACAGCCTCTACCTGACGGTGCTTGTCGAAATCCGTGGCAGAAACAGAAGCATGGCCACCATTTCTCTTCCCCTTTCCGGATCTCATGCAGTGGGTCAGACTGGCAGAGCCCTGGCTTCGAGGGAAGTGAGGCAGCGTGGTTTTAGCTTCCCAGCCTCGGTAGCACGGAAAGGCAGATCGGAAGAAGGAAGGCTTGAGCGAATGAATCCACAATCTAAAACCCCTGAGACATTTTGTCTGCAGCCTCCGACATCCAGGGGGAAACCCGTATCTGGTCTTTCCTGCCTGCCTTGCAGGAAAAGCTGCAGACACTCTGCAAAAGACATCCTCTTTTCTACCGGCAACTGGAAGGGAGACTTAAAATCAGTTAAGCGTCCGACTTCGGCTCAGGTCATGATCTCCCGGCTCGTGGGTTCAAGCCCCGCGTCGGGCTCTGTGCTGACAGCTCAGAGCCTGGAGCCTGCTTCGGATTCTGTGTCTCCCTCTCTCTCTATGCCCCTCCCCTGTTTGTGCTCTCTCTCTCAAAAATAAATAACCATTTAAAAATAAAATAAAATAAAAAACGGAGGGATTGGGTCCGAACCACACAAAGCTCCGTTTCCTCTCCCAGGCTCATCAGCCTAACAGGGACAGGAGGACAAAAGCCGGAGCCTTATTCCAACTCCAGGTTTCTAACTGGGGCTCTACTGCATTTTAGGCGACACGAGTCTCTGCCATAAAGGACAGTGCTGCATATTCTTGCAGGCTGTTTAGTCCGGTACACGTCAACACCCTTCTGTCCTCAGGCCCTGTGACAACCCAAAGGTAGGCAGATATTTCCAAACCCCCTGGAGGGAGCTCGGGTTGCCTCTGAACAGTCCTTCCACGGAAGCACAAAACATGTGGAGTAAGACGTCCCCCCACCATCCAGCCCTAGCCCCTGGCAGGACAGGGGGGGGGGCTCTTGGCACACACAACACAGAACACACAACAGGAGAGACGAATGATGTCACAAGGGTTCAAGAAGCCGGGAAAACAGGATCTTTGTGTCTCAGGGAACTCACTGTCCAAGGATGGGAGGAAGTGAGACCGGCTTGGGGTGAGTGTGACTTAGGAGAGTCTGGCCTTGGACAAAGTATTTAACCACATCAGTTGTATCTCTGTTTCGGAAAGAAACGGAAAGAATATCTAACACCTATGGATGTTAGGAGGCCCAAAGGTGTATATAAGGTTTAAGATCATGGGCTCCAGAGCCCGGAGCCTGGGTCTGCCCAGCCATCTACGAGCTGCGCGGCCCTGGATAAGTCGGCTACTCTCTGTGCCTCGCTTTCCTCCTCTGTACCGGGAGAGTGGCGACACCTGCCCGTACTGTGCCCCACTCAGAGTCAAGTTCTCGGGAAATGCTGGAAAATGTCGTGACCGTCTCCTCCGAGTGGGACTTGTTTTTTTGTTTGTTTGTTTGTTTTAACTCTAGACGTTATTCAGATTTCACCAACGTTTCCACTAATGTCCTTCTTCTGTTCCCGGATCCCCGATCCCGGATCCCACACTGCATTTAGTTCTCACATCTCCTGAGTCTCCTTTGCGAACAAGTTCTCGGCTGTGGCCACCGGAAGGAATGCAGGCTATTTTGTAGAATGTCCCTCAATTTAGGTTTGGCTAAGTGTTTCTCCTACTTAGACTGGGGCACTGGGTTTTGGGGAGAGAAATTCCATAAAGGTGAATTGCCACCTTCTCCTTCTTCTCGTCCTCCTCCTCTGCCGTTGTCGTCTTCTCCTTCTCCTTCTTCTCTTCCTCGTCGGTTACACTTCAGTCACGTGTCCAGCCCTCCCCCAGTCACTGTGGTTGGAGAATGAAGTGCTCTGATTGACCACACCCGGGCTTCCTCTCCCCGGAACCAGGAGAAGGCTGGTTTTCAAAGGAAACTCCAGGCGCTATTACCCTGAAAGCTGGACAAGCTGAAACCACAGGCTCCTCATCCACAGATGGCTATTGACTGTGTTGCAAATATTTGCTCATCACACATTGGTAGTCCCCTGGCCTGGCTAATCACCCCAGCAGGCCTTCACAAAAACCATGAAAAAAAAGGCAGTATGGCCAACGCCCATAAAGATATAACCAAGTCACCTGATAATGACTCTTTTTAAAGACCTGGGAGTGAAACTTTGTCCCAGCGTAGAATCTGGACCTCTCGGGGAGGGAAAGGCACGAGCTGCTGAGTCAGATCTGAGTTCAAATTCCAACACACCCGTTACACTCATTCGCTCATTCACTCAAAAAAGAAAAAATTAGCGAGCACCCATGATATCCCAGGCACTGTTCTAGACGCTGTGGACACAGCCAGGCACAATTCAGACAAAATCCCTACCCTCCTGACATTCTAGACCCGGAAGGCGTGGGAGAGGGGAGACAGGAGATAAATGAGCGGGCAAATGCTGGAAAGAAAATAAAACAGGGCGCCTTGCTGGCAAGAAGCGAGGCCAGACTTGCAGCAGGCATGTGGGAGGGTCCTTTTGAGGGGTTCATATTTGATTTGAGATGGGAACAATAAGATACAGTCAGACTTGAACTGATCTGTGTAAGGCGCTAAGAAAAGGGAGCGGCTAGTGCTAAGGCCCTGAGGTGGCCCCGTCCGAGAACCGACAGACGCCATGTTGAATAGCTGTGTCAGGCTGGGTGGGTTACTTAGCCTCTGTGCGCCCCTGGAAAGTGAGGATGCTCACACTGAGCCCTCGAGGTTGCTAATGAGGATTCAGGCAGACAAGAAGCCTTAAAGGGCCCGGCATATGGTAGGTGTTCAGTAAACAGCAGCTATTAGTATGAGTGATACAATTATTAAGAAAAGAATGGGTCAAAAACTTGAGAGAAAGGAGCTTTTGTGGCTTATCCTTCCAGAAGCCAAAATTCCAGATGTAGTATGAGCAAGGCCCTGAGAAAGGGCTTCCCAGCATGCCCCCAGGACATCCTGGATACCAACAGCAATACTTCGCATTATTGTAACAGCTACTGCCGATTTATTGAACACCTACTATATGCCAGGCACTCTGCGGGGTATCTGATGTCCATTGGCCCCACCGACTCTGAGGCCCCTCGATGATCAACATCCCCATTTCAGACAGGAGAAAAGTGGAGGCTTGGAGCTGACGGTCCCGGAGGCTGGAGCAAAGTCAGGAGGCAAGCAACAGCCCCCCCCCCCCCTCCTCCCCACTACCTCTTACCTGATGACCTTTAGCCATTTCTCTCCTCTGATGTGAAGTAACAGAGGCGGGACAATCCTGCCCCACCTTTCATCTTCATCATTCTCCCAGGGTTGGGGGGGGGGTGCGCAGAGAGGGAGGGGAACAAAGCCCCAGAGCCCCTTCTCCCAGAATCCTGCCCCTGCGTGCTCCCCACCCACCACCACCACTAACCCAGTGCTAGCGAAGGGCACAGGGCACGGATCTGGGAGGTGAATTTCCAGCCCAACGCGGGAGCCCGGGGGAAGGGGGCGGGGCTGTGGCCAGGACGGGGGCGGGGCCAAGGCTGAGAACTTAACCTCCTGTCTGTCTAGGGAGGCCGCACTCCAGACGGGGCGACCTCCCCTCTGCGGCCGCCAGACCGAACGCGGCATGAGGTGTCTTCTGGACGCCGGCCCCAGCCACAGCCCTGCCTGGAAGAGGCTGCTTCTAACAGGTGCGAAAGAGACGGTGGCTTCACCCAAGGGTTGGGGACAGGGAGAGGACACTCCCAGGGAGAGTCTCCAAAGACGAGGGCCCAGGCCTGAAGCTGGGGAGGGGGTGGCCAGGGAAGGACCTCCCAAAGCTGTCAGAATCAAAATGAGAGCTCAGAAAAAATGTGGGCACCTGTTATGCAAATCGCATCCCTGTGCCATGTGATTCGCAAAAGGAGAAGAATGCAAATTGTTTCCCTAGAGATAGAAAAGCACCCTGAGGGGCCTGGGTGGCTCCTTAGGTTAAGCATCTGACTTTGGCCCAAGTCATGATCTCAAGGTTCCTGGGTTCGAGCACCCATCAGGCTCCACACAGATTGTCTCTCTCTCCCTCTCTCTGCCCCTCCGCCACTTGTGCTATCTTTCTCTCTCAAAAATAACAGAAAGGACGGGGTGCCTGGGTGGCGCAGTCGGTTAAGCGTCCGACTTC